CAGAACTAGAACAAAAAAATTCACAATTTGTATGGAAACACAAAAGTCCCCGAATAGCCACAGCAATCTTCAGAACGAAAAAGGGAGCTTCAGGAATCAGGCTCCTGGACTTCAGAGTATACTACAAAGCTACAGTAATCAAGATAGTATGGTACTGGCACAAAAACATAAATATAGATCAATGGAACAGGTTAGAAAGCCCAGAGATAAACCCATGCACATATGGTCACCTTATCTTTTATGAAGGAGGCAAGAATACACAGTGGAGAAAAGACAGCCTCTTCAATAACTTGCTGGGAAAACTGGACAGCAAATGTAAAAGAATGAAATTAGAACACTCCCTAACACCATACACAAAAATAAACTCAAAATGGATTGAAGATCTAAATGTAAGGTAAGACACTATCAAACTCCTAGAGGAAAACATAGGCAGAACACTCTATGGCATAAATCACAACAAGATCCTTTTTGATCTGCCTCCTAGAGAAATGGAAATAAAAACAAAAATAAACAAATGGGACCTAATGAAACTTCAAAGCTTTTGCACAGCAAAGGAAAACATAAACAAGACCAAAAGACAACCCTCAGAATGGGAGAACATATTTGCAAATGAAGCAACTGAGAAAGGGTTAATCTCCAAAACTTACAATCAGCTCATGCTGGTCAATATCAAAAAAACAAACAACCCACTCCAAAAATGGGCAGAAGAGCTAAACAGACATTTCTCCAAAGAAGATATACAGATTGCCAACAAACACATTAAAGAATGCTCAACATCATTAATCATTAGAGAAATGCAAATCAAAACTACAATGAGATATCATCTCACACCAGTCAGAATGGCCATTATCAAAAAATCTAGAAACAATAAATGCTGGAGAGGGTGTGGAGAAAAGGGAACCCTCTTGCACTGTTGGTGGGAATGTAAATTGATACAGCCACTATGGAGAACAGTATGGAGGTTCCTCAAAAAACTACAAATAGAACTACCATACGACCCAGCAATCCCACTACTGGGCATATACCCTGAGAAAACCATAATTTAAAAAGAGTCATGTACCACAGTGTTCATTACAGCTCTATTTACAATAAACAGGACATGGAATCAACCTAAGTATCCATTGATAGATGAATGGATAAAGAAGATGTGACACATACATACAATGGAATATTACTCAGCCAGAAAAAGAAACTAAATTGAGTTATTTGTAGAGAGGTGGATGGACCTAGAGTCTGTCATACAGAGTGAAGTAAGTCAGAAAGAGAAAAACAAATACCGTATGCTAACAAATATATATGTAATCTAAGAAAAAAAAAAAAAGTTCATGAAGAACCTGGGGCAAAACAGGAATAAAGACACCGACCTACTAGAGAATGGACTTTAGGATATGGGGTGGGGGAAGGGTAAGCTGTGACAAAGTGAGAGAAAGGCATGGACATATATACACTACCAAATGTAAAACAGATAGCTAGTGGGAAGCAGCCACAGAGCACAGGGAGATCAGCTCGGTTCTTTGTGACCACCTAGAGGGGTGGGATAGGGAGGGTGGGAGGGAGGGAGATGCAACAGGGAAGAGATATGGGAACATATGTGTATGCATAACTGATTCACTTTGTTATAAAGCAGAAACTAACACACCATTGTAAAGGAATTATACTCCAATAAAGGTGTTAAAAAATCCAATAAAAATCAAAACAGAATACACTGCAAAGACAGATGATCACAAAGAACAGCATAAGTATACATTACCCAACCATGAACATTTTTCTAGAATTATAAACTTTTTGATCTGATTCAGATTTGTACCTTAGATATCTATACTGGTTATAAAGTGGAAACTATGAAAAATTCATGTACGCAAAGTAGATGAATGGTCATTGGGAAGCATGGCATAAAATCTAAGCCAGAAAATTATACACACCACGTTGATCCTTTTCAGTCACCATCTCAATTAGTGATTTAATTCCAATAATTTTGTGTCCATTTTTCTGATGACAGGTATTTAGGGAGCTTAACAAACAGAAATTTGTTTGACTCTCAAACAGATTTGTTTGACTCTGAAATTTGACTCTCAAAAGTCTGAATCCAGAGAGTGTTCGGACTCCCATAGAATACATCATGATGAAACAAGGTAGTCAGCCATTTTTACCAATTAAAAAATAGCTTACAATTATCATTAATATTATAAAGACATTTATGATATATTAAATGCAAAAATATAAGAGCATAAGGCAAAAGCAGATTATAATGTGCACATGTTATTCCTCAAATATTATAGTACAGTATATTATAGTATATAATATACTATGTGTATTGTATATTATAGTATAATCAAGCCTTTGCTGATGCAGCTTCCATCTACTTGTGGACTTAAAGAAAGCCTATCTAGAATTATTGGATAACTGCTGGAAAGCCTACATCTTCAATGAGAAAAGTCACAACAATCTGAAGGATGAAGCTTTTGTAGTGGATATTTGAGTGAGGTCCAGCAATTCAAATGATACCTATTGCTTGGCATATCACCCACTGGACCAATGTAACCAGGCCCAATACCTTTGTTAAAACTGGTGAGAATGAAGCAATCTCTTTTTCAACAGATCTACACATGAGAGAATGGAAGCCTATTTTAAATGACCACATGACTCTGATAATGATTTAGCAGATTTGAAAAATAAGAAAGAAACCAGGTAATCTTTAGAGCACCTGGTTCCAGCCATGCCTAAAGACAGGAAATCTATTCCTAGGTTTTTGCATTAGATGAGTCAAATAAATTAACTTTTACATTTAAGATAGTCTGAATTGTGAGAGGATCCCTACATCCTTCAAAACATTAAGTTTAAGAATCTCTCACTGGTCTTCCCTGGTGGTGCAGTGGTTGAGAGTCTGCCTTCCAATGCAGGGGACGCAGGTTCGTGCCCCGGTCCAGGAAGATCCCACATGCTGCGGAGCGGCTCAGCCCATGAGCCATGGCCGCTGAGCTTGCGCGTCCAGAGCCTGTGCTCCACAATGGGAGAGGCCACAACAGTGAGAGGCCTGCGTACCGCAAAAAAAAAAAAATAAAAAGAATCTCTTATTAATAAGAACTGCTTAACAATGGAATGGATAAATGTAACAAATTGCTATTGGAAGCAAATGCCATAAAATAAATAAATTTGCTCTTGGGAGCAAATCTCAGATGATTTAAGGACAAACAATGTAAGACAGCAGGAAGAGCTTAGATACAATATATTGTCATGAAAATAGAAGCAAAAGAAAATACAAAAATATTTTTGAAAGGAAAGCAATGGGTGGGAGGAAGAAATAGATCAAAAATGATTATGTTTCCCCCACATTTAGTATTAAACACTTCATCTTTGTAGCTGAAAAGAATAGAACTAAAAGGGAAAAATACAAGGAGTAAACACGATAGCTGCCAGATTAGTGAATCTTCCCATCAAAATGATGACAATGTGTGCCATTCTAATATTATGTAAAAAGTATTAAAATATAATCAACCTGTAGGCTAGCTCCAGATGGAGAGAACAGAACTGAATACACTGTACGATGTTTTCTCCCTTGCTCCCAAGCCCCTTGCTCAGTAGTTGTGGGTTCTCAGAATAATACCATTGAGGACACACTGTTGACCAGCAAACGTCAGAGTGAAGAAAACAAAAATAAAAGAAATGGCAAAGTAAATTTTTAAATATAATTGTAGATTAAAAGGAAAACAAAACATATCAAAATTTATGGGATGCACCTAAAGCAGTGCTCAGAGTGAAATTTATAGCTATAAATGCCTCCAACTAAAAGATATTTTAAATCAATACCTAACACCTTGCACCATAAGAGACAAGGGGAAAAAAAAATTATAGCCAAACAAAGTAGAATAGAGAAAATAATAAATAGTAGAACAGAAATTAAAGTATAGGAAAAAATTAAGGAAATCAAAAGTTGGTCTTTGAAAACATTATCAAATTTTTAAAACCGTTAGCAAGAATGACCAAGGAAAAAAAAAGAGAGAAGATTCAAATTACCAAAGTCATGAATATAAAAAAGGTAAAATAAATACTAACTTTACAGAAATTTAATAGAAGGATTATAAGGAAACACAATGTACAGCTGTATACAAACAAATTAGATAACCTAGAAGAAATGTGCAAATTTCTAGAAAGACACAAATTACTTAAACTGACCCAAGAAGAAATATAAAATCTGAATAGACTTATAGAAAGGGATTGAAGAAGGAATCAAAAGACTTCCCACTTAGAACAGCCAAAACCCAAACAACTTCATTGGTGAAATGTACCAAACATTTCATGAAGAATTAATATCAATCTTCACAAAAACAGAAATGGAGGGAATACTTCACAGGCCATTCTCTAACACCAGGTTAAGAGAAATAAACAACTCTGTTTACGGTCAACTGAATTTCAACAAGGTACCAAGATAATTTAGTGGGGAAAAGATATTCTTGTTCTTTACATAATGATGCATATAAAATGACACCTTAATTACTGTAAAAGCATGTTATTCTTTGCAGGGAAAAAACTCAATTATATGCCATTTTCTAGAAACTGGAAAAAATAACCTACAGTTCATTTAGAAAAGTAAATGTATAAGAATTGCCAAAAAGTTTTGAAATATATGTTTAGTGAAAGAAAATTTGCCATACCAATTATTAAAAAGCAAGCAATCCAAGAGGAAAAGTCAGATATGTTGCAGTGCCTTTTCTGATCTAGCCTTAGAAGTCACACACCATCACATCCATAATATCCCATGGGTCATATATTAGCTCTACTTGATGTGGGAGGGGACTACATAACAGCATGAATACCAGGAGGTAAGGATCATTGGGTGTCATTTATAATAACAGCTACCACAAAATTTTAGTAAGAAATTTCTTAAAACTGTTTTAAGAACATATAACAAATAATCTAAACTTTTATATACTTCATAAAATAAAATATGTGAAGGATAAACTGATACAGAAACAACAACAAATACAGAAAAAAGTACCTACCTGGACAGAAATTTATAGAAACATTACACTCTTCAATTGGTCGCAGAGTCCCACTGAGTATGCTAAATTTGAATATGCCATCTTCGAAAAGTTTACCAGTATTACTAGTATCCAAATTCCACTCTAAATCTTTTTTTGAAGTATTATGTAAAACAAGATCCTGTTCACACATAAAAAATAAGAGATTTATAAAGATTATAACATGCAATATAAAATTTAGTTTGTATTGCTGTAGCAACTTGATAGTCCTAGGCACAAAGTCAAGCAATTAAATGTGGTAATCATAGATAAAATGTTTTAAAAGTGATGTTAGGCAAACAAAGGGGTATGCAAATATGTTCACAGCCTGTCAACAACTATGAAAAGTACTCAAAGGAGCTATGCTAGTTAGCAAGGACACAGAGTAACAAGAACCTTCATTCATGATGGTGAGAATGCAAATTGGTACAGTCACTTTGGAAGACAGTTTGACAGCTTCTTATAATGTTAAACATATGTCTACCAACTGACCCAGTAATCCTACTCTTAGGTATTTTCTTAAGTAAATTGAAAATTTATGTTCACACAAAAATCTGTATGTGAATGTTTATAATAGCTTTGTTCATAATCACCAACCAATGGAAGTAGAAACAAACAAGATTTCCATCAACAAATGAATGTATAAACAAACTGTGGTACATCCATACAATGGGATAAAATTCAGTGACAAAATAAGTAAAATATTAATTCATGCAAAAACATAAGTGAAGATTAAATATATTTTGTTAAGTGAAAGATGCCAGACCCAAATTTCTACATACTGTATAATTAAATTACCTGTCATTCTGGAAATGCACAATTTTGTGGGTGGAAAAAAAAATCAATTGCTGCCAAGTGTCAGTGGAAAGAGAAGTAGGTGATTGCTAAGGGGTTATACAGAGAATTTTTAGTGTAATGAAACTGTTCTGTATGGCACTGAAGTAGTAAATAAATTATTCTATACATTTTTAAAAACTCATACAACTGTATACTGCAAAGAGTGAACTTAAAGGTATGTAAATTAAAAACAATCAACCAAGATGCTGGGGATCCCAGCATGGACTGTAGACTGTGACAAGTTATATCACAAATGTAGGAAATAACCTCACCAAAGGTAGTGTGGGTGGTAAGGAGTGTCCTAACTAATTCTGGAAAACTGTGTTTTGACTGGAAACTATAAAGCTAAAGACAAAAAGATACTCTTTGTAAACACTGTACCCTAGTTGGAAAATATGTTAAGAATTCTAAAAGGGTACAGGTTAAAAATTCTGAAACTTCTTTACTAAGTCCACCAGAGTTAAAAAATAAGTAAATATATTATAAACAAGAGAGTCAGATTTCTCACTGTCAGAGTTAAAAATGACAAGGGAGAAAGACTGAAATGAACCTTGTGGTGCTGGATTACAGTCAGAGTTATCAGTTTGAATTCATGTTTAGATAAACAAACAGGAAAAGACATATAAATAGATGATAGACAGGCAGATAGACAGATAGATAATTACCAATATATGTGTAATCATGGATTAGTACACATACAAATACTTCCTTTCTAGGCCAAAAGGGCCTAGAACACGTGACACCACGGTAGTAGCAAGCACACCTAGTGTACAGATCTTGGTTTCTAAATACCATTCTCCTGTAAAAGATAATGAGGTTTCTTCGAGAAAATGTTGACTCAAGAGCTGGAACAACTAAAATAAAAGTGACCCTGGGAGGGAGACCTTCAAGATGGCAGAGGAATAAGACGGAGAGATCACCATCTTCTCCACAAATACATCAAAAATACATTTACATGCGGAACAACTCCTACAGAACACATACTAAACGTGCGCAGAAGACCTCATACTTCCCAAAAGGCAAGAAACTCCCCACGTACCTGGGTAGGGCAAAAGAAAAAAGAGAAAACAGAGACAAAACAATAGGGATGGGACCTGTACCAGTGGGAGGGAGCTGTGAAGGAGGAAAAGTTTCCACACGCTAGAAAGCCCCTTCACGGGCGGAGACTGCGGGTGGCAGAGGGGGGATGCTTCAGAGCCACGGAGGAGAGTGCAGCAACAGAGGTGCAGAGGGCAAAGCAGAGAGATTCCCACACAGAGGATTGGTGCCGACCAGCACTCACCAGCCTGAGAGGCTTGTCTGCTCACTCGCCGGGATGGGTGGGGACTGGGAGCTGAGGCTCAGGCTTCGGAGGTCAGATCCCAGGGAGAGGACTGGGGTTGGCTGCGTGAACACTGCCTGAAGGGGGCTAGTGCGCCACGGCTAGCCGGGAGGGAGTCCAGGAAAAAGTCTGGAGCTGCCAAAGATGCAAGAGACTTCTTCTTCCCTCTTTGTTTCCTGGTGCGCGAGAAAACCATAATTCAAAGAGTCATGTACCACAATGTTCACTGCAGCTCCATTTACAATAGCCAGGACATGGAAGCAATCTAAGTGTCCATTAACAGATGAATGGATAAAGAAGATGTGGCACATATATACAATGGAATATTACTCAGCCATAAAAAGAAATGAAACTGAGTAATTTGTAGTGAGGTGGATGGACCCAGAGTCTGTCACAGAGTGAAGTAAGTGAGAAAGAGAAAAACAAATACTGTCTGCTAACACATATATATGGAATCTAAGGGGGAAAAAAAACGTTTTTTAGAACCTAGAGGCAGGACAGGAATAAAGATGCAGACATAGAGAATGAACTTGACACGGGGAGGGCGAAGTGTAAGCTGGGCCAAAGTGAGAGAGTGGCATGGACTTATATACACTATCAAATGTAAAATAGATAGCTAGTGGGAGGCAGCCGCATAGCACAGGGAGATCAACTCGGTGCTTTGTGACAACCTAGAGGGGTGGGATAGGGAGGGTGGGAGGGAGACGCAAGACGGAGGGGATATGGGGATATATGTATACGTATAGCTGATTCACTTTGTGATACAGTAGAAACTAACACACCATTGTAAAGCAATTATACTCTAATAAAGATGTTAAAAAAGTGACCCTGGACCATTTTGTAGCAAAGGAAGTAAGAGAATGCTTTAAAATCATAAAGAAGGGAGTATATCAAAGGGCCAATCTAAAAGAGGTCCTTATGGCCAAAGCTGGAACAGTTTTAGCAACAAAATAAAAAATGTAACATTGGATTAAAACTAAAAGTATGGAATAAATATATGTGAGGTCACAGCGATATATTAAGTAACTAAATAAATAAATAAATGGAGAGAGGAAATAACCTTTCTTACAGAAAAATTCCAAATAATATATGTAAATATCCCCTCCAGAAGATGGAGCTTGTCCCCTACCCCTTGAGTCTGGGCTGAAATAGATGACTCACTTCCAAAGCATAGAGTGTGGAAAGGGAAAAATAGTTTCTCCAACTTTACAGTGGAGAAACCTGGCATGTATACTGATACCATGTCCTCCCTTCACATGGTATGACAAAAAGCACATTTCACCTCTGTGACATTCTTCCCCAAAGTCCATGGAAAATAAGAACTGAGCCTAGTCAAGGTGGAAAATATAAGACAAACTGAAATTAAAGAACATTCTAGAAAAAAAAAAAGCCAGACCAGTATTTTTTTAAATTAACACTGTCATAAAAAATTAGTAAGATTGAGAACCTGTCATACATTAGAGGAGACTAAATGCAATATGGTATCCTGGATTGGACCCTAGTACAGTAAAAGGACCTTAGTAAATACCTGGTGAAATGTGAATAGTCTGTTGTTTAGTTAATAATATTTTACTAATGTTAACTTCTTAGTGTTAAAAAATTGTTCTCTGGTTGTATAAGGTGTTAACATTGGGGAAAGTTGTGTAAAGTGTATGCAGAAAGTCCCTGCACTCTCTTTGTGATGATGTTCCTATAAATCTGGGAGCTATGTACATGACTTGTGTGCAAACTCATCTTTCCAGTGCAACTCGCTATGAAAATAAAAGCTTCAACCAGGTTTTTTTAAACTTTATTCTTCCAAATTGGAAGTGTGTAGAATGATCCATGCAATTGTCACCACAACAAAATAACACACTTTCTTTCTAAAGCATGATTGATTTAAAATATTCAAGATAAAAAAATGAGGCAATTTTACTCCCAGATGTCTCTAAGTACTGAGACACCTATTTAGCTCTAATATTTGTGTACTTTATAACGAAGTTCATTTGCACCTAATAAAGAAAACATCTTTTAATACAGAAGGTGAGCATGGTATCATACCAGTTATATGAATGCCTCATATTTCTCATTCTGAAATTGAGGAAATGGTATAAGATCTCTAACATACTATCCACTTTCTATATCCTAAGAATTGAACTGTTCCAGTCATCTATGGAGAGACATCGTTTAATTAGTTTAGCATGTGTAGAATGGTTATTTTTCTTTATAATTTCATCAAAATGATACATGTGCATAGCTTACACCAATAGTTAAAATACACTTACAAAAAAGTTGGCCTGGGCTTCCCTGGTGGTGCAGTGGTTGAGAGTCCGCCTGCTGATGCAGGGGACACGGGTTCGTGCCCCGGTCCGGGAAGATCCCACATGCCGTGGAGTGGCTGGGCCCGTGAGCCATGGCTGCTGAGCCTGTGCGTCCGGAGCCTGTGCTCCGCAGCGGGAGAGGCCACAACAGTG